TTCAAAAGATGCCAGTTTCAAAATAGGGACCAGAATAAACAATGCAAACATTACTAGTACTAAAATAAAATTTTCTCTGTTCATTATTCACATCTCCAGACTCCTCTTATATTATGCTTGCTTTCCTGGTTGAATTTTTATTCATGCCAAAAATAGATTTACTGCTATGCAGACTACTGCATTATTGTAATAATTGTATAAATAATGGCAACCCATTCGTAACTGTGTATTAGACTGGCCTGAAGGACATGTATTGACTGGCCGGTTGGACATGTATTCGACTGGCCAGTTGGACATGTATTGGACGGTGATGTCATTTGTTTACTCTTGAACACTGGCACAAATTGAACATTTTACGTTACTCTGAGCTCAATTTTAAAGTATTTTCCAATGTGAAACCAATCAAAATTATATCTATTTCTGTAATATATCTTCCATTCTATCAAATGAAACAAAAAATGAGAATACAACCACACAAACCCTACGAAAATACACCGCAAAAGTCTGTTTTACACCAAAGGCAGAGTTGCCTTTTTTTTTTCATTATACACTGCGTGCTGCAGATTTTTTATGTAGTGCACATTTACCACAGACCTATTTTCTCATATGCAAGCCCAAATTTACAGGTCACGGCTTATCTGAGTGAGCGGAGCTCATGGTGACCGACAGTGGCTTCGAAGCCACCTTCTCTTTTATGGACAATGTACGGTGTATGTGCTTTACACAATGAGAAGCATTTGTTTTATTCATTGGAGCCATGGCTAGCAAGCAGGTTATAACAATAAATGGAGAAAAAGAAATTGGAATGACTTATGCAGCAAGTAGCACCACCAAACAGCAGCAGCAGATTGGTGTGGCGACTCTGGAAATTTGAAATTACACTAGCCGAAATTAGTGCCAGATTAATGATGGCCAACCTGTAGTAACATTTACTGAGCACTGACTGCATAGGTCATTCATCTCTTGCAGCCATGAAAAAATAAAACACAAAAACAAGGTTAAAATCCACAGACAAGTCCTGTGGCTCAGTTGGTAACACACTCAACTCACACGCCGAGTGTCCGTGTTTCAATCTCCAGCACGGATGGAAATATTGGGCCATGTTACCTTACACCTGTTACCACTGTTCACCTAGCAGTAAATAGGTACCTGGGTGTTAGTTGACTAGTGCGGGTGGTATCCTAGATAAGGCTGGGCTTTGATAAGAGCTGAGATAGGATAACTCTTAGCCTGTAAAATTGGTGGAAAAAATAAAAAGGCAGTAAACTCACAACACTAACATTATTACACAGTTAAAATAATCAGTATCAAATAAAACAAACCCATTAGACTATTAACCCTTTCAGGGTCCATCCCGTAGATCTACGGCTTCACGTTGAGTGTCCAAACCGTAGATCTATGCCAAAATTCTAGCGCCGTCAAATTTAACGCAAAAACGCTCATAGGCCTACATGTGAGAGAACGGGTCTGCGTGGTGGGTGTGCGCCATAAACAAAAAATCTAGGCGCCCGCATAGCATTGTGGGAACGCCGGCTCAGTTACCCTTGTTCACCATGCCTTGTCGCAAGTCAGCTCTCACTCCCCGGAAAATTGGGACTCTCCTCTTCCTATCTGATAGTTCTGACAGTGATGGAAGTGGAAATGAAGACGAATTCTACGGCTTTGATCAGTTAGTGACCGAAAAGAATGACCAGGATATTGATAATAGTGCAGAAAACCCTGACGATCCTCAACCTTCTACCTCTGGTGTGGGCACTCGTGACTCACGGTCGGTTGTTCCTCAACGCAAGAGAAAACTAATATTTTCGCGTGGCCAGGCCTCTGACTTCAGTAATGATGATGATAGTGACGTGGATTGTGATTTTATTGCGCTCGACGATCATTCGAGTAGTGATAGTGAGGAATCATATTCACCAGTGAAGCGTCGGTATGTTCGCCACCGTATGCGCTCGAGTAGTGTACCCTATGCTGTGCCCAGGGGACGGAGTACATCTCGTGGCCCTACACCAGTTTTAGGTAGTGATAGTGAGGATGATGTGGCTACACTTGGCATGGATAGACCACAGGCATCAGTGGATGGTGTTAGTGGTGATGGTAGTGGCACCGCTATGAGTGACTCGCCAGCCCACGCTGGGACCCACGCTGCTGACTCGTCAGTTCAAGAACAAAGCGGAGCGTCAGCCAACAGCCCACCACAACCACAACCACCCGCACAACCAGCCTATGATGTCCAGTATCCACCAGCAAACCGTATGTGGGATTGGCAGCAAAATCCCAATTTTGTTCCCAAGCCCCACCACTTTGATGACTCTCAAAGTGGAATTCTACCTACCTGTCCCCTTGGAACCACGGCCAATGAACTGGAATTCTTTGAATTATTCTTTGACCAGCCATTGATGGAAACTATTGTCAGGGAAAGTAATAAGTATTTTGAGTACACCATGGCAAATACGATCATATCACCACAGTCAAGACTACACCGGTGGAAAGAGACGACTGTTGCAGAAATGTATTTGCTTTTTGCAACAATAATGCTTATGCCTCATGTCTATAAGCATAATATAAAAGAATACTGGTCCACAGATCGGCTAATTTCTACCCCGGTCTTCAGTGAAATCATCCCAGTGAACAGGTTTATCTTACTCTTACGTATGTTGCACTTCTCTGACAAAACCAGGCCTGACAGAAGTGACAGGTTATACAAGATTAGAAATGTTTTCATGTATCTCAAACAAAAGTTCAGCATATACTTTTATCCATTCAAGAATCTTGTAATTGACGAGTCTTTGATTTTGTTCAAAGGTAGACTGTCATTCAAGCAGTACATACCGAGCAAGAGGAACCGCTTTGGTATAAAACTGTTTGTACTCTGTGATTGTGACAGTGGCCTGGTGTTGGATATTGTTGTATACACGGGTAGTAAAACATTGAAAGATACCAAGATGTTATTGGGTATCTCAGGTGACGTAGTGAGAAACATGATGGCACCTTATCTTGGTAAGGGGCATACATTATATACCGATAACTGGTACACAAGCCCATTACTCAGTGATTTCATGCGAGTGAACAAGACAGATGTGTGTGGCACAGTGCGTTCTAATCGTAAACATATGCCCAGGCTCAACGCAGGTGCTCGTGGTGATGACGTGCAGGTGTTTACTGCCAATGACATCATGGCATTACGGTGGCATGACAAACGAGATGTCACATTGTTGACAACCATTCACCGTAATGAAATGCAAGACAGTGGCAAAGTTGATCGAGTGACTAATGAACGTATTCGAAAACCAGTGACAGTGATTGATTACACACAAAACATGCCCTTGGTTGACAAATGTGATATGCAGATTGGTTTTGTTGACTGTGTTCGTAAGAGTTACAAGTGGTACATGAAACTTTTCTTCCATCTCATGGACATTTCAATGCTCAATGCATATAATATGTACCAAATAAAGACTGGCAACAGACCACCGTATGGTGAATTTTGTTTGTTGTCAGACAACTCATAATGAAGTACCAGGTAGCAACACCTGCTATACAACAAGGTCCTTGAATTCCTCAGAATATACCCAAGCGTTTGAGGAGGGAAGGTGATCATTTCATAATACAACTTCCTTCAATTCAGAAGAAATTTGCTCAGAAGAGATGCATCGTCTGTGCACAAACAAAACGACGGCAACAAAGACGCAAAGACACTCTGTTTATGTGTGAGGAATGTAAGGTGCCTCTGTGCATGGTGCCTTGTTTCAAGGAGTTCCACAAGCTCCAGCAGTTCTAAAACCATGTCCAGTGATTGTAAATATGTAAATATATGATAGAACATTAGTATTATACAATATTTGTGCATGTTTATTGTAATAAACAACAGTGGTAAACAATAATATGATAATAACTTTAGTGCGGTTATTGTGTTCAATACAGTGAGTTTATATATATACATTATATACAGTATTGGTCTCTCAGACCCCAAATGTTAGTAGGAATAGAAAAAAATTGGAAAAGAAAAGAAAAAAATGTAAAAACCACAAAATAATGTAATGCGCGTATGTGGAATTCGTCGATGTTGCCGCCACCACATCATTTTTGACAAACTTCTTGGCACTGTATCTCGGTAAGTACTGATCAGAATTTTTTTTTTTTGTCTTATTACCTTCACAAAAATATGCTCTTTAATTCTGTAAGAAATTTTTTTTTTTTTTTTTTTTTCAAAATTTCTTGGACACTGGAGCACCACTTCAGATTTTGGCCTTGGACCCTGAAGGGGTTAATGTCAAAAGACTTCTGAAAGTTCCCCAATGTCCCTATAAGCATCTTGGTAATTATGAAATCTGTGACTAGGGAGACTATGCCTAAGCTGTGGACAAACAGTTCAAATGTGGCCCACAGTCAGTGACACATCACAAGCTACACTGGAGGGCAGAAGCACTGGTGGACGGGGATGTGTGTGAATGGAGTAGTCATTTATACTAAGTTTAGGAATTTTAATGTCAGTGTTCGGCATCTAAAACTTAAGAGTTTGTGATAGCTTCAAGAGGTTTTTATGATAATTGGCTAGTGATGGATCACCGAGGTAGAACCACAAGTAATAATGCCATAGGCGAGGTATGAATAATAATAATCTCCATGGGAATGTGGAAAAGAACTGTTCCTCCTTAAGTAATGGGTGTCGTAAGAGGTGACCGAAATGCTGGAAGCAAGGGGCTAGTAACCCCTTCTCCTGTATAAATTACAAGCCTTGGGCCAGGCTGGTCTGGTGCAAGGCCTCTGTCATGGCCACCCAGAGGGAGGTGAAGCACCATAATAACGAAGATCAGAATCCCCCACCCACCAGGTGAGTAGAGGAACTACCACATGGGGTGGGGAATGGGATGCAAGCAATTTGTTCCAAGGGAAGTGTAACTAATTCCTTGGGCCAAACCCCCCTTCCCTTACCCTTAAGAGGGATGAGGAATGGATTAAATGTCAGTATTTTTGGGGTAAACTATAATAAAAGAATAGGCAGTGGTAGCACTTTTTATTATCCCATGATTTCCATGGTATGTATATAAAATATAATAAAACCTTGAGCTGATAATGGTCTTTCCTGGTGTATGGGATGACACTGATAATGGCAATGATAGCAAGATCTCCAGACTAATTGGGACTCCCTCTAAACAAATATCTCAAGTGCATATATGAAAGCGCTAACACCCAAAGTAGTGTGTGCCTACAAGTGAGGCCCCTAAGTTATTGCAACTCAATGGAAAATAAGCCTTTAACTATTCTGAATGACTATTACTTAACCTAAAAAGAGGCATTGATGGGCCCTCAAGTAAGTTCCAGGTTGAGGAACCCACTGATAACACCAAAGATGCCAAAGCAAATTCAATCGTGTAAAATTTCTCAAAGAACCAGAATGAATGATGCACCACGAGGGGGTATAAAATTACTGTCAAACTTATGAAAAAAAAAAATGAAGCATGTTAATATTTTGCACACAACCCAGTAAGCACTTTGGCCTGGCATTACCAGCAGACTGTCCCTCGACACTGGCTAACCAGTGGAATGGGCAACACCAGTACAAATGCTAAGAGCACAGTTGTCAAGATTCACTTCTTTAGCTCCACAGTTGCTGTATTTCCCGGCATATAAGGTGCACGATCATACGAGACATATGAGACGATGGTTCCAAGCAGTTGTAACAACGTCAGCAAACAACTGCTAAAGCGTAACCCAAAGCCTACATTTGACCCTGACCTTGAGTATACAAGGCACAGGGTGATTTTCAAAGGCCGTGGGGGGGAAAAAAGTGCATCTTATATGCCAGAAAATACGGTACGTCCTTGCAAGGTTACGTCAGAGTAAACCTTGCCATGTTCCCAAAACAAAGAAACATAGATTACCTGAAGATGTTTGGCTTCAAACATTGGTTGAAAATGTCACACATGAAGATCAGCTCTAATATACATATCCAGTAGGGTCCCAACTTACGACATTAATGTTCCTGAAAATTTTTCTTAACTTGGGTATTGAGAAGGTAGTTACCCAGTGATGCCCATGTCATAGCTGGAGATGCAACCTTCAACTGTAATATTCTGTACCTAATTTTATATATATACATTTATCACCTAAGAATATCTACCCAATATTTTACAGTCCATGTTGTTCCCTCTCAATTGCATACAGTATCAGACATTGTATTATTGTATATATGTAAATTAAGCTTAAATACAATACAGTATTCACATCAAATACTGATACTGCCTGTGTCACTGGTAGTGATATTTCCACACATATTAGTCCCTCTGTTTGAAGAAGCAAGTGTATTTATAAATAACTGGTTCCAAAGTGCCAATATCATAAGTTCAGATCATCGTAAGTCAGGACCCTACAGTAGATATTTCCAACAAGGTGCACTATAGTTAATGGTGACTCCCTTTGAAGATACATTAATATAAAAAAAATTATACTAACTAGGAGAATTATGAAGAATTATAGTTAAAAGCCCCAAGAGAATCCAAGTGAACGAACATAATATAGTGACAAGAAGTTGAAATAGAGAAGCACAAGCTACAAGAGGGAGGTAGGTAGGGAGGGAAGGTAAGAGCTAGCCAGGCTGATCATGGCACCATAGTGGGGCAGCCAGGTAACCAGGTGTAATAAATATTCATCTTTTGGCTTCTTTATCACAGACTTATCATTAAAACTGCCTTCTGGTCTTGGGCTAGTTTTCTAGTTAGTTAAGTTTGGTGTCTATCAGTTACTAACTCCTCACCCACTCTGGTCCTGCATTCGTTACCTCAACACACAATCACATTCAAAATGTGATTTTTTTATGCTAAAGTCTATGACAAACAAACAAAAATTCCCTAAAAATCTAAAAACACAATGAAGACAAATCAGAAAGAAGAAACCCTCACCCTGAGTACACGTATATTTATCAAACAAAGTCACTTCATATGAATGCATCACCTTGTTAATTTTAACAAAATTTTTACAACTTAACTCTGAATCGCCACTGGCCGCCACGTCATTCTTAACCAGAAAGTCAGTGGGGGTCATCTTGCAAAATAAACAGAGGTCTATTAAAAGTAGAAAAAACTGCGTTCTTTCGATCATGTGCAGGACGTGGTGTACGCCTGGGTACATGGGTGCCCTACGGTCGCACACGGCTTCAGCCTCGGCTTGTAGGGTCGTAGTGACATCACATGTCCTTCAGCTCCTCGGGCAGCTCTTCCTTCGGGTGCTTGTTCTCGTAATGTTGTTTGTAAGTCTTAGGGTCGGGCATCATCCCCTGGAAAATAAAAATTGATATCTGTTAATGGTTCTGGGAATCACTCCTCCACCCTCAGCAGCCCAGTAACAAACCCAACCACCTAAATTGAGTTCGTTAGTTTTTAGTTTAATATGTTTATTATGCACCCCATACCCATCCTGTGGGCAGTAGTCAAAAGATTACAGAGGTACATAATTGGTCCAGGGACTGGACTCCAAAGTTTTGATAGCTGAACAAGTTACAAAGGTAATGAACTCCAGGCAGATTTGGTCACAATCATGGCAAGTTACAAAGGTAATGAATCATCTACACTTCTATACATGGTTACAATCATGAACAAATTACAAAGTAATGAGCCACTGACACGTCCACACCCGGTCACAATTGTAACGAGTTATAAGTACAAATATTAATCGGGTCTCAAACACACACACACTCACACAAGCACACACACACACACACAAGCACACACATTTATAGTAAGCAAAGTCAGGGTATTTCTCCAGAATAGTCTGTAATATACCACTATGGATAAAATACTTTACCATTTCTTGAACATTTCTGAGCGAGTTGTCTCTGAATTTATTCATTTTATTGCACTCCAGTACATAATGACGCAGGGTGTGACGCACTCCAGTACATAATGAGAGGGTGTGACGCACTCCAGTACATAATGACGGAGGGTGTGACGCACTCCAGTACATAATACCTTTGATGTACCTTTGAAGAATTTCGAGAGTATATCTACTCTCTGAGCCCGGCCATGGGCCAGGCTCGTCTGGTGCTCGCCTGGTCAACCAGGCTGTTGCTGCTGGAGACCTGCTGCCCCACATAGCCATCACAGCCTGGTTGATCTGGCACCTGGTGAAGATACTTGTCTAGTTTCCTCTTGAAGGCTTCAACACTTGTTCCAGCAGTGTTTCTGGTATCTTCTGGTAAGATGTTGAAAAGTCTGGAACCCCAGATGTTGATAGTGTTCCCTTATTGTCCCCACCGCACCCCTGCTCCTCACTGGGTTTATTTTACACTTCCTCCCATATCTCTCACTCCAGCATGTTATGGCAGTGTGCAGATTTAGGACCAAGCCCTCGAGTACCTTCCAGGTATATATTATCATGTACCTTTCTCTCCTCCGCTCCAATGAGTACATGTTCAAGACTTGGAGGTGTTCCTAGTAGTTTAGGTGCTTTACTGGCTCAATGTAAGCCGTAAACGATCTCTGTATTTGTTTCAGCTCCGATATTTCTCCTGCCCTGAACGGGGCTGTCAGCACTGAGCAATATTCTAAGTGAGGGAGCACTAGCGATTTGAAGTGTCACCATCGGCATTGTTTCCCTTGTTTTGATACAGGGTGTGACGCACTCCAGTACATAATGACAGGGTGTGACGCACTCCAGTACACAATGATGCAGGGTGTGACGCACCCCAGTACATAATGACGCAGGGTGTGACGCACTCCAGTACATAATGATGCAGGGTGTGACAACAGTCCATCTGCCAAAGTTTACATTTCATCTGGTCTGCTTCTGGTGGTGGTGATTTAACCTGCCAAAGATACCTGTAACCCAGCTGGTGCTGGGTGGTAGTGACATCCAAGACTGCTTATTTTGTTAGATGCACCATAGATATGTCTCCTCTTACATGATAGAATGATGATAGATAGACTGACTGGTGCCAATCTCCCTGAGTCTTAAGTCAATAAAATTCAGTAGAAGTTCTTTTCTTATTACTGTTCTCAAACTCTTTGAAAGGATGTAACTTAGCCAATTTATCAGTTCTATCATGCATCTGAAGACCAATGTGAGATGGAATCCACAGCATGTGCACTCTGACTCCACTGTCCACAATCTTACCATACCTGTGTCTGGCTTCTGACACAAGCATGCCACAATTTATGCTTAACGAGTTGAGAGCATTTATGGATGACACAGAATCAGCTACAATTGAAGTGTCAACCTTAGATACGTGGATGCATTCGAGTGCGAGGAGTATACAGATGCTCCTCAATTTATGACGTCTTCTGTTAAGATGTTGAATAATCTTCAATAATCTTGGGTCATGAATGTTGATACAATGCTACCTTATTGTGGGTGGGAATGTTGTAACTCAGGGCACTATCTGAAATATGTTTAAGTGCTTCTGGCAAGGCAGCTGTTAAGTAGATGACTGGGGTTTTTTTTTTTTTTTTGGTGGGGGGGGCAGCATCACCCTGCCTTGGTGGAGAGAGAGAGAAAAAAAAAGAGAATTCTTTGCATTGTACATTTTTTATAGGCAACTATGGTTTGGTAAGGTTTGCAGGAAACAGAACAAGTGCTTCCTGACTCAGGTTTCAGTCATATGATGACCCATCGCTGGAGCTTTTGGTCATCTAATCGAGAACTTATGCTGGCTTACCAGTCCACCTCTTCAAATATCATGGTTATGATTATAAACATTAAGTAGCAATGTGACAGGCAACTATATGTATGACTGAAGTATGGTAGATGAGATGATTATGGGAAGTCAAACCTTCAGACCAGCTGACAAATGGACAGGGTATACGCTGGTGGGTGCCGTATTTTGTGGCTTCTAAGACTTTAGTTTTAATGGCTCAGCATCGGATGTAACTAGGAGAGCTACAGCCCACCCCACACCCCAAACTTATAGCTCCTGTCACTCACTTCACTTTATATGATGCAGGCTGGTTTTTTGGAGACATTCCATGGAAAAAAAAAATGCGTCTAATAAGCCGCGAAACACGGTACTTTACTTTTGCAAACATTTACAAGTATGAGACAGTATGTACTACCCAGCCCCAGGTAGCTAGAACGAGGCAGTGCACAGAGAAGTGTTGGGAAAAAAGTATAGCAGAAGCAGAGATTTTATTAAATATGACATTTCGCCTACCATGTGAAATGTTATGTTTAACTTTTTCATGGTTAAAACCTCCGACCTGCAGTTTGTTTTCTGTGTTAACCCCCCCACAAAAAAAAAAAAAAAATGTAGAGAATCTTCAGAATGGCAACAAAAATACAAACTTTCATGGAAAACTTACGGAATTACACTGGTGCAAAAATCAGCAATTTCGCCCATTTTGAGTCCTATTTTAGGCCAGTTCCATTGTAGCTGACCAAACTCTTCAAATTCAAAATCTTATTTCTTTGCATAGTTTACAACATGTAGTTTACAACATGTAGTTTACAACATGTAGTTTACAACATGTAGTTTACAACATGTAGTTTACAACATGTAGTTTACAACATGTAGTTTACAACATGTAGTTTACAACATGTAGTTTACAACATGTAGTTTACAACATGTAGTTTACAACATGTAGTTTACAACATGTAGTTTACAACATGTAGTTTACATGTTATAAAAGTAAGTCACTAAAATGCCTGAGCATTTTGGCCAGACTAATACTGATGCTGACACACTACTTAAAACTAGACGCAGGTTATGGAGTAGTGAATTTTAATTATACATTATTACAAAAAGAGGGGTGGCAAGAATATCACAATTAATGAAATTTATAGCAGAGAGATGCAAAAAAAAAATTTGTATAATTAACAATAGTGCAATTTTAAGTATCAATATTTTAAAGTGATTTAGTAATCTCAAGTTAACTGGGATTTAAGTAGTTTCAAACTGGTACTATGATTTTAGGCATAGTATAGTATTTGTTTAGCTAAGTTTGGGAGATGAGATGATTTTTAAGTATAGCCCTAAATTGACTGGTAGACAGGGGACCTTTTGCTGGTTTAGGTAGTGGCTAACGCGATGGTCTGGAGTTTTGACTCTCTCTGATCGCGGGTTCTATCCCCGTCCGTGGTATGGTTAGGTAGTGAATTCCAGATCTTCAGGCCCTTTATGTGCATTGCATTTTTTGCATAGTGTGACACACACAAGGAATGTTGAAGAGTATTTTGTGCCTTGTGTTGTGCCTGTGTTATGTTGTAGCTATCTAGGAAAAATTTGAGAGGGTGGTTTATATTGGAGTTTAATGTTCTATACATATATAGCAGGCACAGTAACAGGAGTGTATATACAGGTCCTCCATCACAAATCCAGCATCATTGGGACCTGTAGTGTGTCGGATTACTGAGTTTGCCGGATTAAAGAGTGGTTAGGTTAGAATACACTTAATAAAATTAACCAACTTGACTTACACAAAGTTCATTGAACATTGGAAAAAATCGAACATTTCCGCTGCTTTGAGCTCAGTTTCAAGGGACTTTTCGTCATGAAAGCAATCAAAGTCATGTCTATTTCTGTAATATATCTTCCATTCTATCAAATGAAACCAAAAAAACGAGAATACCACCATAAAAACCACACAAAAATACTGTATACAGCAAAGAGGCGGCTAATGGCTGAAAAGTGAACTCCCTTATTTATTGTCCGCCTTTTTTATTTTTGATGTACGTTAAGAAGCATCTTTCCATCATACATTGCCCAAGTTTCAATAAGACAGCCCAACAAACAACTGAGAAAAAAATATTTACCAAAAATCATATATGGCAAGCCCAAGCCAGGTACTGGAAATAAGTCATTTTGACTTTGCTGAGTTATCCTAGGTTCTCTATACATACACTGCTATGTATGATAATCTATGTAACTGTATTTGTGTATACCTGAATAAACTTATTTATGTTCAGTCTGTCAATTGAGTACAAGAAACTGCCCATTCACCTATTTCAACTACCCAATAAAGTGGTCAGAAATTGGCAATTTGACCAATTTCACACAAATTTTTAATAGATGCCAATTTCAAAATAGTGTCCAGAATAAACAATGCAGACATTCCTGGCACTAAAATAACATTTTCTCTGTTCATTAGTCATGGCTCCAGGCCCCTCTTATATTACTCTTGCTTACCATTTGGAATTTTTATTCACACAAAAAAATAGAAGATTTACTGTTATGCAGACTGCTGCATTATTGTAATAATTGTACAAATACAGTGGACCCCCGCATAGCGATATTAATCCGTGCAAGAGAGCTCATTGTTATGCGAAATTATCGTTATGCGAATGAAT